CGCCGATGAGTGCCCAACCACACAATTCTTAGGTCAAGGAATTCTTATCAATTACCTATAACTTCCCAATATTTAAGATATAATTATTTTCACAGATTGAAATCATGAGTCAGTTGAATCTAGGTCAACATCGGAAACCTGGGAGCACTGGACAGCCGTTTCGCACCAGTGTGGGACTCCTCAGCAGTGCCCATCCACGATCCCACACCCCACGGAACTCGAACCTAGGACCTACTGGTTCCGTGAACGAGCACTTAACCATCAGACCACTGAGCCGGCATCTAACTGTGTTAATGCCTAACTTCAACCAATCCACGAAGTTGCGCCACCGTATACCATTGTCTTCAATGAGCTGATATTTCACAACAGACCTGGTTGAACTCCACTGGTAACAGCTTCCCACTAGAACTCCAGGAGTATCTCTTGAAGTCAGTCACTAGTGAGCAGATGATTATTATCAGATGGGACCAGTAGGTCGTGGGTTCGAATCCCGCGGGGTGCAGGATCGTGGATGCGCATTGCTGAGAATTCCCACAATAGGACGAAACGGCCGTCTAGCGCTTCCAGGTTTTTCATGGTTTTCTAGATTCAACTGACTCATGATTTCAATCTGTGGAAATTTTTAAAATCTCCACAAACCCTATCTGATATAATTATTTGTCAATAAGTTAATATAATCAGTAGCTTAATATTTTTAGAGCAAACGGCGATATAGCATTATACCTATCTGATAATGGGGTACGTTGATTTGAAGAATCCTCCAAACATTAACGAAGAAACTAGTTGTTTTTATCAATTAGAATTAGTTTGTCAATCATTAAAAACAATCGAACAAAATATAATCACATTTATATTAAAAAAACGTTTTATATGGATAATTAGTTGGAAACGTTTAATTTATATAAAACTTATACAATCCATATGGTTGATAATATCACGTTGATATGAATCACCAAAAATTGGATCAAATTAAAATGAATTATTGATTTGATCCTTTACATAGTTGTCTCCCTCTACTGATGAATTTATGTTTACAAAATCTTAATATTTGTGTATACGTCTTTAAATCACGTTTATCGGTCTTATACTAATCTCACGGTGATTTTACAATACAACATCTGATGTACTGCAAAAAAAGGTAGTTAAGTTTTCTGTTTGTCACATGAATAAGGATAAAATGAGTTATTTGAATTACAGATAGATGATTTATCATTTAGTTGTATAAGTGTAGTACAACTAGTTGTTAAGGGTAAAAATGTATTTCTTCGAAAAACCTTCCACTGCCTTTTCCTGTTAAAACTCTTAAAGATTTATTATTATGTTGTACAGATAATGTAAAATTCACATTTGAAGGTGAACACTTCAGACAAATAGATGGTGTAGCTATGGGCAGCCCTCTAGGACCATTGCTGGCTGATGTGTTCATGGGATATGTGGAAAATTTAGTTGGAGACTCAATTCGATAGATGGGTCTGTATAAACGATATGTAGATGATATAATAATCGTAGGGGATAAAAGTGAAGACATAAACCGCTTTTTAGAAGAATTCAATAGTAGTCAAAAGCACATTTCTCTTACATGTGAAGAAGAGAAGAACAACCAACTTCCTTTTCTTGACACCCTGATTACTAGGAGAGATGATGGTTCCATCAAACGTGCTACATATAGAAAACCAACATGGACAGGACAATATCTTAATTTTCATAGTCACTTCCCTATTCATTATAAACGCGGTTTAATAAAGAGCTTATTCAATAGAATCAATCTTATTTGTACTAATGATACTATTGAAGTAGAGATGAAGCTCTTGACTGATGCGTTAATCAATAATGGTTACCCTTTGAAGTTTATAAACCGCTGGAAGGGTTGCAATGTGACTAGACCTATGACGCTTCTGATTCCCAAAAAGCGAGTTTACATTACGTTACCATTCAGAGGTGACACAAATAGTCTCATGTTGAAACAGAGACTTAAATTAGCTATCAACCGGACATTTTATGCAGCCCAACTTGTCATTATCGAAAAGACAAGGTATATGTTTCACCAAAAGCCCAAACAGCATGAAAACGATTGTGTCACATCCCATTGTGTCTATAAATTTACATGTATGTGTGGAAACACGTACATAGGGAGGAGCAATCGTGATTTGCAATGAAGGGTGGGTGAACATATACCAAAATGGTTGCAGAATCAGATGAATTCCAATGGTGAAATAAGATCACAGGAGAGACAGACATCATCATCCATTGTGAAACATTTGATTGAGACGGGTTGATATCAAATCAGCATTTGTTGTGTTGTACGAAAGCCTTCAAGGACGTATACTAAGGTTTATTGAAGCCTTGGCTATACGAAAATTGAAACCCCCTTTATGTGTTCAAAAACAATTTGTCCTTACACTTAACCTACCCTGGTAATACTGATTTATTATCCAGAGTGGTAATCACATTTGTTTTTGTGTACTTTAATATTTTTCCTTTGTTATGACTTACCCTTAACCTGTCTAGTTGACTTTTTAATTTTCATATATAAATGTTCTTAACAAGTATATGTGTGATCAGATTGTTCGAAATGTATTGCGCAAATATATCACATAATTCTGATAAACTACGTCTTCTCATTGCATTATCGAAAAATGTATTTCCTTATGTTTTATTTGTTTCGATTAAAAAAAGATAAAATCAATGTTTTGTTTTGTGAATGGTTGTTCATAAAAAAAGTAAGAACTGCAAACAAAGTTCAATTATAAATAAATTAATATATTTATAATATCCCAAATGAGTCGAAAAATTGGGTTTTCTGGAGTTTCGTGACTACACGTAAGCCAATTCTTCAAAGGATAAATAACCAAATCAAAATAAATCCAAGTTTAATTAATTTTGATTTGGCTGTTTATTCTCTGAAGAAGTGGCTTACATGGAGTCACGAAACGTCAGAAAACTCTATTGTTTTACTCATTGGGTTATTACAAATTGCTAGGTCTATCGAAGCATTCAAGTCAATCAATTGAGATATGCGCAAAACCAAAGTTCGCGAAACAACGAATTGTCGTAAATAGCGGATCTTTATTGAATAACACACAGAGATTAGTTACAAACCTTAACTTGTAAGGTGTCTGAGGCTTTTACCGCGTTCTTTTGTATGAAATAAAAACGGCTTCTTGTAACAGTAACATAAATAATAATTACAGAATATGATAGAGCAAAAGACAGCTGATAGTTATCTAAACTTGGTAACAGTTTATCAACAAACAATACCCGAACCAAGAGCAAACAATATGCAAATATTTGAGGTTTAAACAAACGCACGAAATTGTGGATAACTGACACAGTAATTTAGATAAAATGATTATAATAGTAAATACAATGAATGTTATAAGTAAATGTAAATATGTCAGAATATTACATGACAAACTTGCGTTAGAACAACACATATAAGCGAACAATTGTTTTCAATTAGATCGTCATCAGGCTTTACTCTAATATACGATCTAATTGAAAACAATTGTTCGCTTATATGTGTTGTTCTAATTTTCACAATGGGAAACTTGCGTTACAACAGAAGTTTAAAAATTTCTGGGAATACAACTACTTACTGAATATAAATAGGTAGTATAAAACAACACGGAAAAGAGTGAAAGAGAAGAATGTAAAACAGATTTAACACAAATATATTAATTTATATATAACAGTTTACCCAATACTCAATTTATTCGAAATTATCAATTCAAAACCTAGTCATGATACCTACAAAGTTTGATTATACTACGCTACATATGAAAGTGATTTAGTAAGCTCGGAATCTGATACCAAACATTCATAACATATATGTAAAAGACATTTTAAAATAATAATTAGCTGCTAGTTATATTTACGAATGTTAACGATCAGTTCTTCTCTTATGTTACACAATATATTTGATGTTAGAATTCTTTAGAAGTCAACTGTCCTTCTTCAGAGAAGAGATAAATATCGAAATATACCGAAAAGTTGTTACGATTTTTTAAAAGTATCCTAGTGATTAAATTCATAATGATAGAAATATTTTTCGAAGGTGAATAGATACATTCAATCATCTAATTTTGTAAATTAAAAGGAAGACAATTAGAAAGAAAAAAGAAACAAACAAACAATTTGGGCAATAAATAAAACCTTTCAAAAGATATCTGGTTCAAAATTTAGTTAAAATAACAAACTCAATAAATCTGGATGGAGTATTGTTCTCTGAGTTGGATGGTTTGGTCGTGGAGTTTCCATCGTTTTTCTGAACGAAATCATCAGCACAAACTTCAGATAGAAGTGAGGTGTTCGAATTTCTCCATATGCGTTTCACAGCTTGTTCTGTACACCTCGACGTTGAGTGATTCTTATTGACCTTAGATTTGTCATAGTTTACTTCTTTGTTTTGGTTGTCCCCCCCCAAACATAGAAATCATCTTAGAAACATTTATCTTCTAATGATTTTTACTGTATCTATTCAGTGGAAAATTGTTAGAGTAAAAAGATAACTATGTATTGAAACAATATATATATTATTACAGATAAAATGTACCAAGTTTATGCTATTTGCCAATATTCAACATCAAACGTAAATATTAATTTTGAATTCACTTGGTATTGCTTGCTTGAATCTTTCTATTGATGTTTGGGACTGCGAATGATCAATCTGTTGTTGGCATATGTGCATACTGTGCGGATTGCCTCGATATAACTTTAATTCACAAGCATTATAAGTAAAGATGGTTTGTGAATAGCCGTGGAATCCAGGATGCACGTTTCATCCTATTTGGGACTCATAAGCTGGATGTACCTGCATCCGTGTTGATGTTCACTTCATGACTCGAACCTAGTACCGTTCGCTTCAAACACCATCACGTTATCCACTTAGCTACTGAGTCCTAAATAAGGCGGGACGCGCGTTCTGGATTCCACTTCTAACCATTATCCATCTTTGATTATAAACATTAATTTTGTTTGATATTTTCCATATATTGTTTCAGCTTAAATTTTCACAAGACGAAGCGGAAAATATAATCAAAAAGGTAACATTAAATAAAGTTGATTTATATAAATAAATAATCGTTTTTTATTTCTAGTGTATACAAAATATCGTTGGAACTAATTCATATACAAATGAATCAGCTAAAGAATGGGCTAGAACTATTGTAGATAATTGTAGAAGTGATTTAGTGAAATTGGGCAAGCCATTTAAATATATTGGTAATTATATTTTATAAATCAAAAATATAATTAATTTCAAATAATTTTATTTATTATTTTTTTAAAAAGTCAATTGTACTATAACTCAAAAACCAGGATCTGGAGTTTACAGTGCTTCGTCATGTTATTGGGATACAGGAAAAGATGGTAAGTTCATTATCAACTCTTGAAAAAAAAGATGTTTTCTTAAAATTGTTTCGTTGAGTATAATATTCAGTGATGTAGTGTCGGTTATTATGTTAAGCCCATATTACCTTATTCTAGCTTTTGGATAGGTCAATTTATTAATTGAGTCATATTTTCACCTTGATAATTATTCGCTTATAAATCTTATCTGTTTTTATGTAAGCATTTATGTGTGACCTTCTTATCCCATTACTCATCACATGTCTGTAACCTACTTTTGTGTAACTATTAATATTGATTAACGCTCGGTTAAATGGAAGTTGACTTACCCTCCATCTCCACTCTGCGTTGTTTCTCTTCTCTCGATTCCATTCGCTTTATATACAAAATATATGTATTCAAAAGTTCATTCTCGTTATTTGACTTATTTAATTCCGTTATTGACTAAGGCGATTTAAGTCGATAATTATATACGAGTATAGGCGACATATATATTTCAATAACAATCATTCATACGATCTACTTGGAGTCAGATCTCAGGCCACCAAAATGGTGAATTCGTAGAAAACATCATCCGATCTAATCGAAGACAAAATAAAAGGCCACTAAAGTGGGAATTACTTCATCAAATGCAGTAATCATGACAATTTACTGAAGTCAAATTACAGTAAAGGGAACAATGAATGTACAAATTAAATTACTGAAAACTATACAGCTATTTGGTATTCAAAATTTAGATTAATACAACAATGAATACATCTAATTTAGTGAAATCATTTATTTATGTTGTATACCATAAAGTCTCTAATTACAATTTAGGTTTGTCATACAATCTTTAACCAAGTGTTATATATTTTGTTATATCTTAGTGAAGATTAAAGTACGAGTAACTTCTGAGTCCTATTAATGAACTAACATTACCTATGTATCCTTATGATATAACTATTCAGTAACTAGGTTATATATATATATACGAAGAGAGAGAGGGTTGCACTGTTTACTATGCAATAATGCTGTGATGTGTGCTACTTATATTGATATAAGTAGTATATGACGCGAGTTAGAAACGTAATGTCTGGCAGCAGAAGATGGGGGAAGATCAAGAAATGAAGAGTGGGAACATGATGCAATTTGTAAGAAAACGCATAAACAATGAAATGTGAGACAATGGATTGATGATTGCAACAGGAACAGTCCGGTTTGATATGATGGATTGATATTTTGCAAACTAACGATTTACTATAGTGTTTTTTCTATTTTACTGAGTAACTCTGTAATATTGCGCTAAACACATTCGGTTGTCCCCACCTGTGTTCCGTTCGTTACAATGCGAACAATCTCGCGGGGAAGAGTCGTGGTTGCTCACTGCTGAGGAGTCCGATACTAAGACGAAGCGGCCATCCAGTGTTTGCAGGTTTTCCATTGTGGTCTAGCTCCAGTTGACTCATAAATTCAACTATTAAATTACTATAAAATACAAAAAACTCCTCTCTGACTAATATTATTTACTGAAGCTTTAGAGAACAGTGTATTGTTTTTTAATCTAATCATTCAATTATTAAAGATTTTTTATCCCTATATAAATAAATTATCATTCTTGAAACAACAATTAACTTCTCATTTTACTGATTTTTCTATTCTAGGCAATTGTAAGGTGAAATGGGAAAACAATCACGTTTATTGTATTGTCGTAGCGTTTGCAATTTCTCTGTAATCAGGTATAATAAACAAGATGATACAGATGAGAACATTTTAATTATTTTAAGTTATACATCTGCATATGTATATGCATGACATATAAAGTGATTCTATTAATTGAACCTTATTTTTTCACTGTCTTTAGAACTTCTTGTTATATTTGGCAACGATTTTAATAAATTTATTTTTTACTACCTAATATTTTTTAAGTAACAACGAAGTGGTCTTTAAAATATATGGATCATAGTGAAGGATGACCATTCATAATTCATGAATCATACAATGAAGAATCTACTTATCACATTGTTGAATAACACCTGAACATAGCTACAATATATGTTAATTTAATGATTATGTGAATGGAATTCTGATAACTTACTTTACACTCTTTGGTTTGGTTGAATATTTGGCGAGACTCGAATTTATGGACGAGCTAATCATAGGCGTTTTAGAAATTTCAAGGTTACAGCACCAACTTCAGTGCTTAATGCTAACGTACGATCGGTTTACAGGGAATTTTGTACAAAACGTAATAATTGAGTGGTTATAACAATTAAAAAGGTGAGACTATAATTTGTGGACGAATCAATCAGGTGTAAGATAATAGATCTCGGATTATGGCGCGAAAGTCTTTCATCCATTTGGCTAGATAAATTTCTGGCATTATAGGTGATTTCAGTTCGTAATAAAAACCCCACATATAATCAATAAATAAGGCAAGTTATGACAATTATTGCGAACTGGATAATAAAAGCACCAGGAACACTGACTGCAGCCAGGTACGACAATATATGCGGATGTTTAGAGAGCGTACAGACTCCTACCTAGGCTTGTTTATGTGCATCGTGTCTATATCCAAAAGTAGCATTTTGTACATTCAACAGCCGGAGTGCACATAAACAATATTGAAGCTATATGGTCGAGGCTGAAAGAGTTTTTGAGACTTTATCATGGCTCCAGAGGTCGACTATCCTGTAGCCGTATGGATGATTTCCTCTACTCCATGCATTACGATTTTAGAACCTCTGAACTTCTTTCTAACCTTGACACGTTTTTGAACCACGTATAAGAAGTGTATCCATTTTATTTCTTTGGTTTTGTATAACATATTTTTACTCTATACTGACTGTTTGCTGATTGGCTAATAGTTCTCATGGTCACTTAAGATTCGTTCAAAGGTTGTCCATAAATTAGAGTCTCACCGAATATTTTTGTCGGTACTTTGCTCAGAATGACTGCTAGATAAAGATTAACTTATTAACTAATCATGGCCATCTCGTAGATTTCGGGTTGGATGTTCATATCTTTCTAAATCATTTGATATAATCTCATTGTTTGACAGTTAATAGTGTTATATCGAATCTACTTTGTACATCAATGTTAGTGGATGTGAGATATGTTTATCCATATTACACATTTAACAAAAATGACTTCAGCTTCATTTCTTGATTTACACAGTGGTGATGTCAAAAATTAAAGTAAAACTGGGATATGAGAGTAATAAATATGATACCCTGATTATCTGAAATGTAAAACCTTATGTACAGCTGTTTGGAAATACAATTCACTTGGAAGAAATACAAAATAAAATTTCTAAACATTTCTAGATATTTATGGTTAAGTTATTGTTTTAAATCTGAACCTATAACTTGAAACCTATTGTACTGGATAGACTTATCACATCACTATTTGAATGCTAACAAAGGAAATATCCCCAGAATGAAAAATTAGTCTTTAAACATATCCTAACAACTAGGGAAGTAACTGAATAAAATGTTCATTCATTTATATTTCACCATTAAGGAAAACAAGAAAATAATTTTCCGGTTCACTTCTCAAGTATTCCGAACTTCCTCTTCAACCGGAAGCTCGTTTGTTCTCTCCCATAGTAAGTTGCTAATGGTGGTATCCTACCAATGGACATTCAGTATCCCGAGTAGACAATTGTTTATAAGTGTTTGTATAATTTTGATGATGGCTAAAGTAGTTCTCTAAGTTTCAGCTCCGTACAGTAGAACTGTCTTGACGTTCGTAATAAAGATTCCGACTTTTATGTTGATTGGCAGTTGTTGTGACTAGCATATGTTCTTCAATCATAGGAATCCTGTCCGTGCTTTCCTTTAGATATGGAGGTCTTCATAATCCAGTCAACCACTCGAAGAAAGAGAAAGGGAAGTGTGAGCAGTCTTGAGTAGCTCCAGACCTTTCTTGAAATACGTCTGTCATCTTTCTTTCATGCGCGACTTTACAGTGTAGTCCGTTGTATGAATTCCAGATGGTATTGACGGTCCTCTCAGGTACCCATGTGGTGTGAGCTACTTATATTCATATAAGTAGTATATAACGTGCGTTAAATAAACGTAAGGTCCGGCAGCAGAAGATGGCGAAGATCAAGAAAGGAAGAGCAAGAGCACAATGGAATTGTAAGAAAACACATGTACAATGGAATGGGAGACAATGGATTAGTGTTTGCAACGGGAACAGTACAGTTTGATATGATTGGAATGATATTTTGCAAATTGACGATTGATTTTATGGTATTCATATTTTATTCAGATAGTCTGTAATCTTTGTGTTAATACAGTCGATTGTCCCCACCCGTGTTCTGGTTCACTACACCCACTCCATAGTGTCAAAGACGTTTCCATAATGTTCTCTATCCGCATTATGAATCGCCTTCCTATAGTCAGTGAAGTTGATATATAGTGACGAATTTCATTAGATTGATTGTTCAACAGCTATCCGTAGTGTCGCGATTTGGTCTGGGCACGATCGATCCTTACGGAATCGAAGTTGGGCGTCTACTAAGTCTTTCATCTGATTCAGCAAAACTCTGTCGAAAACCTTTCACGGTATTGGCAAAAGTGTAATGCCACTGTAGTTCTCACATTTGCCATCCTAATTTCTTCGACCGTTGGTGGAGTGACATCTATAGGAAGGTGTGTGTGTGCAGATTCGATGTCTCGTGGATTCGACGGAGTTGGTCTATTCAAGAGTTGCTCAAAGTATGCCACCCATCTCCTTCTCTGTTCTTGAATCTCAGTGATTGGCCTGCCTTCTTTATCATTCACTGGTCTTTCTGGTTTACTATATTTCCCTTCTAGTTTCTTCGTTGGTTCATATAGCTGTCTCAAATTTCATTCCCTTGTAGCTTTTTCCACTGTCGTTGTTAGATCTTCTACAAATTTCTCTTTACTACCTGTAATGTTCGCATTCACTTGATTGTTCGCTACAGAGTATTCAGCTTATGCCTTGACTTTCTCTGTTCTTGTTCAACTGTGGTTAAGTGCTGTTTTCCTGTTCTTCTCTCCTGGAATCCTGTCCAGGTTTTCGATAGAGTTTCATTCTTATTCATGATATTTCTCGCGTCCCAGAACCTCTTGACGCGTTGAAGTTAATGCTTCTTTGATACTTTTCCAGTTGTTCTCCATAGTAGTTTCTTCTCCTTCCTTCAGTAGGTCCCGTAAGGCTTGAAAATTGTTACTGAGAGCGATTTGGAATACGTTAAGTTTGTTAGAATCCCGAAGGAAGGCTGTATTGAATATGTTGATATGTTTCCCAGTCTTTTTTAAATAATCCAATCTATTTCACTAAATGATAGTTCTTAAGACAGAGAAGGACTATATCATTACTAGGAATTTAGTCATAAGGCATATCAAATTTATGGAATTATTTTACAGTGATTATATTCATTAAAAATTAGTACTGTATATTATTTAAAAACCGATATGTCTCTCATTAGTTTTCAATAATCTAATTCTTGTTTGATTGCTAATTTCTTTTCTGTCAATAAGTACTATGATACATTTCACAGGTTGTTCTTATTTTACTTTTATTGATAGTTCTTGTTTGTGTTTCACTGTTAGATGATTGGTAGAGATGGCAAGGACATAACGTTCATACGTTTTCAGTTAGTTATCACTTGGTAGTAAAGTGTTTCATCATTTTGAGTAAATGCTGAAATGAACCTACTTGAAATAGGGTTACAGTCTTAGACTTTACATCACTTTAATTATTTAATATAAATTGCTCCATATCACTTATTTCTAACGAGTATTTACCCAGATCAAACATCACTAGTCGATATAAACAATCATATTTTGAAAAGAAGTAATAAACTACCTACATAACCAAAGCCTTTTTGACACAAAGATAAATATTTGATAAATATTTAATTGAATTTAATATTCTGTCGGTAGAAGATGTAGCAACAATTATTCTGTTATAAAACAGCTGAATACATGTTAGAATTAAATTTACTTGATATTGTTTTACTTGTATCTTCCCACTGTTATTTAGGAATGCAAGTGATCAGTCTCTTGTTGGCATATAGGCATCCTGTGCCGATTGCCTTGATATTGTCTTAATTCACAAGTTTCACAAGCAAAGATGGATAGTGACTAACAGTGGAATCCAGGATACGTTAGAATATACAAATTAGTTCTTGATAATAAATATTTAAACTATTTTACTCAATGATCTAAAGCGTTTTTTCCAGTTTTTAATTATTTCCAGAATGAAACTTCATCTAGTGAAAGTCTTAGATAATATACCTTAGTAATAAACTGAACAAAACTTAATATTAATAACCAAATTATGTGTATATGGTATTTCAATAGGTGGAAATCTCAATTTCTGACGTTTCGTAACTTAATATAAACTACTTTTACTGAGTAAATAAATCAATAACCTAGTTGACAAATTACTTATATCGTGGATGCGCACTGCTGAGGAGTCCCATACTAGGACAAAACGGCCATCCCGTGCTTCAAGGTTTTCCATGGTTGTCTAGCTTCAATTGACTCATGATTTCAATCAGTATAAATGAAAAAAAACCGAATATATAATTTAGTCAAAATCAAAATAGATTAAATTATGTTAACGACAGATTATTGTTAGTCACATTGATTCTAGTCATGACTACTATTGTATTACCTTTATCAGCTTTAATAATGACAATTGTTCTATCCTTTTGTAAAAAGTATAAAAACCTAAAAATTAGTTTGCCTATTATAAACAATCTATATAAACTAGTTACTGGTTAGAATAACAAATTTGCTTATCATATCTATTTCAATCGTTAGAATAAGAATACAAGAAAGATATAATTAAAGGATTCTATTATTAAATTCCATTCCAAGTTACTCTCGTTATATAATTTTTACACAATAATATCATCATCAGTATTGGTAG